CCCCCTCCAGGCCAGAGGCCGCCAGGTGAGCTCCCGTGGAGCTCGCCGGGATCCGCCTCGCCCCCCGCCCCCCGGTGGCCCTGGGCCGGCTGGAGTTGCCCTCCCGAGCCGGACGCGGAGGCCCCTCCGAGCCAGCCTTTCCCACGGAGTCCAACGAAAGTCCTCCCTTCCCGGCGGTTGAGTTCGCCTCGCTCGTAAAGAAGTTCCATCCCACCCAGAACCTCCCCTTCGCTAGCCCGTGGCTGAACTCAGCCCCTTCCCCTCCCGGTCACGTGTCCTTCTGGGTCACACCCCCGATTCAGCTTTTTCCCACCCACGTCCGCTTCCACTCGGGGGGTTCTCACCTACTCACAGTCCAGGTGGTTCCTTTTAACAGGTGTGATGTCCCGCCAGGCTTGGTGCTGGGAGTGACGGGCCGGGAGCGCTTGTCCTGGGAATGTTCACCAGAACCTGTTCTCAAGCTTCCCTCTTGCCCTATTGCTTCCTTCGGTGTCCAGTCCTTGTGCTTCGCAGAAAACTTCTAAACATCACTCACTCTGGGAGCCTGTTAGCTCCCCTTCTGCAGAAAAAGCCAATGATAATCCAACCGTGATGTCCAGGATGGTGAGATGACAGACACCTGCCCGTCCCTTCCTGTTCTTCTGGCCCAAACTCCCCCCACGTCGCCTTCTCAGTCTGTTGTTCCCAGAGCTGGTGGCCCGTGCTTTCCCGTCGGGGCCTACCCAGCCTTCCTGCCTGCCTTATGGCATCTCCCTGCCGATTTTTGGTCTCCTTGGCCTAGATTTGTCGCTGCTTCTAAGGCTTTAGCACTGAGATAGGGCATACCTTTGGGCATTCGTTTTCAGTGTTGAGATAAAGAAGCTTTGGGGTGTTTTGCCTAGCACCCTAGGGTAGAGACAACTGAGTGAAGAAATATCTTCTCAGGAACTAAGAGTCACATATAAATATGTGCCTCAGGTAAAATAACTAACTTGAGTTGGCAGGAATTGTAAGCCCCCTAAGTGAAGTCTACTTGGTTTGTTTGGTCTTGGTTGTCCTGTTTCGATATCCTTTAATGTAGAATGTGGTGGTTTAGTCTTAGTCATGAGTCTCTTTGGAAGGCTCCTCCTGAAATTCACATTTGAGGAATGGTGACATAGACCTTAAGGTGTTCACTTTCTATGAGGCTAGTTAGTGACTTGCATTTAACAAGATCGCTGTTGGCAGGCTGTTTTTTGGCTCTGTTGGCCAACCCTGGCAGGAGTTTACCCTTGAAGATTTTGTGCTCTTGGAAACTTCCGTAGAATTGTTTCTCAGTTGTGTTCACATTTTATTCTCTCATACTTTATTTATACTGTGTTCTTAGTTTCTATTCACTATCATTCATCTCCAGAGAATTGCTTCAGGCTCTGTCAGTTTTAGAGTCACTTAAAAAATGTACATACGTCCTTGTGGTTACATGTGTCCTTTAGGTCTTAGCATGTACACAGAGGAAATACTGAATCAGTAGTAGGCATTATCCTTCAATGTCTGACATATGAGAGAACATAAGTAAACTTGGGATGTTTTTATTTTAAAACATGAAGAGGCAATAAGATACATTACAAAGGAACCTCAAAGGAGAAACTTTCCAGTTGTTAGTGTATGCTAATGTGTTTCCTTGTTATTTCAGAACTTAACAGATTTGTGGTTTTTAAATTTAAATTTTTTTTTGTCTCACTCTGTGGCCCAGGCTGGAGTGCAGTCTCACAGCCAGCACAGCCTCAACCTGCTGGGCTCCGACGATCCTTCCGCCTCAGTCTTTCAAGTAACTGGAACTACAGGCATGTGCTACAACCCCCGACTTATTTTTTAATTTATTGTAGAGACGAGATCTCGCCAAGTTGCCCAGGCTGGTCTTGAACCCCTGACCTTAGACAATTCTCTCTCCTTGGGCTCCCAAAGTGCTGGGATTACAGGCTTGAGCCACTGCACCCAGTCTAATTTTAATTTTTTAACTGCTTGAGCCCGGTAAACCGAGATAACAATGTAACTTGGTTTCACGTTCATTATTAATCTGTTTATGTCACCCACTGCTTTTGAAGGGTTTGAAGGGTTGGTTCGCAGGCAGGCAAAGAGGAAGGAAGACATAAACTGAAACATTTTTCAAGTTTTCCCCAAACTGTGTTTTGTTTAATTGATAAAGGCAAAAAAATTATAAACAAGATAATCCCAGCATAGTGCCTAGCACATAATAGGTACTTTAAAAACACAGGTATTTGTCGAATGAATGAACCTACCCCACAGGTATTTGTTGAATCTCATGACCAGAGGCAGAAACTGTCCCAACACACACACTTCCACATAGACAGGGTCAAATGATAGATTTCTTGGGGTGGCAGCATCTTTCAGTTTGTCTCTCTCCACTCAGTGCCTGGAAGAAAGTGAGTATGAGTGACTGAAAATTCTAAAGGGCTCTAACAGTTATGAAGATTAAACATTTTTGGGGGTTAAGATCTCACTGTGTTGCCCAGGCTGATTTTGAACTCCTGGGCTCACGTGATCCTCTCGCCTCCCAGAGTGCTGGGATTATAGGTGTGAACCACTGCTCCCAGCCTTAAACATGTTGAAGTTAGTTTCTGCCTCTGGTCATGAGATTCAACAAATACCTGTGGGGTAGGTTCATTCATTCGACAAACACCTGTGTTTTTAAAGTACCTATTATGTGCTAGGCACTATGCTGGGATTATCTTGTTTATAATTTTTTTGCCTTTATCAATTAAACAAAACACAGTTTGGGGAAACTTGAAAAATGTTTCAGTTTACGTCTTCCTTCCTCTTTGCCTGCCTGCGAACCAACCCTTCAAACCCAACCACCAAAATAAATTATCTATTATATTCCAGCTTCCAGAGTTGAGAGACTACTAGAGTAATGAAACGTTAGTTCCAATTCTAGCTTTGCCAACAGCTAACTGTATGGGTTTGGGTTAAGTCTCCAGGTCTCTGTTTTCTTAACTTTAAAATTCGTTAGATGATGTTTGTTGAACTCACTATATGGTAGGAATTAATCTAAGAGGCTAAGGATATATATTCATGAACAAAATAGAAAACAATTCTTGAAACATGGAGATAAAACATGGAACTTAAATTCTAGTAGAGGAAGTTAGGACCTTTCCAATTCTTCACATTCTGTTTTACAGGTCATGTTCTATGATTTGTAGATCTAGTAGTGACTTTCTCAGGGTACTTTAGAGCTTTACAGCTTTAGTGTTTTCTAATTTCAGTTGTCTTCACTAGATGTTCCAGATTTCTTGTCAGTAAGAAATCTGACTGTGCTGGGCTCGGTGGCTCAGCCTGTAATCCCGCGCCTTTGGGAGGCTGAGGTGAGTGGATTGCCTGAGCTCGCGGGTTCGAGACCTGCCTGGGCAGCGGGACCTCATCTCTACAATAAATCAAAAAATCAGCCGGGCATGGTAGCGCATGCCTGTAATTCCGGCTACTTGGAAGGCTGAGGCGGAAGGATCGCCGGAGCCCAGCAGGTCGAGGCTGCGGTGGCCGGGAGTGGCTACTGCACTCCAGTCTGGGCGACAGAGTGAGACTC